AAAATCTACAGTACCATCTAGTGGCGGGTATCTTGCAATACCCATAATTGCCATGTTTGTAACTGGGACATTTTCTTAAAAGTCTTTCTTTCATAACATGACCTTGCATTATACTGCAGTAATTGGGCTGATCTTTCAGGTGTCCCTTACATCTCAGCACCTCTGACTGTAAAGAGATTCAGGATATCTTAAATTAAGTAATTTCCGCTTCTAAAATTTTTGTAAGCAAGGTCTGATATCTGAGTTAATAGACAGTTGGCAGCCAATCAGCCAATATTCTGATTACATATTCAACTTGGGTCAATGAGGCACTCGTAATAAGGTGAGAGTACTTCAGCAATGAGGCTTACTTTTCCCTGAACTCTCTACCCACCCAAAGGATCTGTTCATTCAGAACTCTACGAGAACTGACTCAAGGTCCGTAGGTTCGAGAGTCTGTGCTAGATCTGAGAAAGGAGGGAAAGAACTAACTTTGATTCCTGCAGGAAATCCTCTGACAAGAGGGTTCCTTAATAGATCTGAACAACTGATGGGTTCAAAAGTGGGAAAGGAGTACAACAAGGCTGTATATTGTCTCCTTGCTTATTTAACTTATATGCAGAATACATCATGCAAAAGGCAGGACTGGATGAATCCCAAGCCGGAATTAAGATTGCCGGAAGAAATATCAACAACCTCAGATATGCAGATGATACCACTCTGATGGCAGAAAGTGAGGAGGAATTAAAGAACCTTGTAATGAGGATGAAAGAGGAGAGTGCAAAAAATGGTCTGAAGTTCAACATAAAAAAAATTAAGATCATGGCCACTGCTCTCAACACCTCCTGGCAAATAGAAGGGGAAGATATGGAGGCAGTGACAGATTTTACTTTCTTGGGCTCCATGATCACTACAGATGGTGACAGCAGCCCTGAAATTAAAAGACGCCTGCTTCTTGTGAGGAAAGCGATGACAAACCTAGACAGCATCTTAAAAAGCAGAGACATCACTTTGCCGACCAAGGTCCGCATAGTCAAAGCTATGGTCTTTCCAGTAGCGATGTATGGAAATGAGAGCTGGAGAATAAAGAAGGCTAACTACCAAAGAATTGATGCTTTTGAATTGTGGTGCTGGAGTAGACTCTTGAGAGTCCCCTGGACCACAAAGAGAACCTATCCATTTTGCAGGAAATCAACCCTGAGTGCTCACAGGAAGGACAGATCCTGAAGCTGAGGCTCCAATACTTTGGCCATCTGATGAGAAGACTCCCTGGAAAAGACTCTGATGTTGGGAAAGTGTGAAGGCAAGAGAAGGGGCCGACAGAGGACAAGATGGTTGGACAGTGTCATCGAAGCGATCAACATGAATTTGACCCAACTCCGGGAGGCAGTGGAAGGCAGGAGGGCCTGGTGTGCTCTGGTGCATGGGGTCATGAAGAGTTGGACACGACTTGACTAAACAACAACAAAAATGGATCTGATAGGGAATAGGTATCAATTCCATTCTTAATGCTGTTGTCCCCTTTGACCACAGCATTAGGTGTTGTCTAAATAAAGCTTGTATCCTGGAATTTCCACAGACTGACCTTTAAATGAAATGCTTAACAAGCCCGTGAAACTTCTCATGGAATGCATGTACATGATAATATTGTGCTTATATATGTATAATCTCTGCTTGCATGTAGATACATTGCAAACTAAAAAAGAACAAAATTTCCTCTGTTTGAATGTGTGTGTGTGTGCGCACATGTGTATGCATATGCACACACACACACACACACACACATTTCCCCCCGCCCCCCGTGTATCTGGTTGTAGACAGAGACAGGGGTGGTGGTTTCTGTCCAACATTCCTTCTAATTTCTGAGTGTTAGGTGGGAGCCCTGCCCCCTGCACACAGGAGTCTGGCTACGACTGGAATAAAATGGGCAGCAACACTAGCTTGGCTTGTAGCCCCACACCCGTGTGGCTTAGAAGGAACGCTGGTTCTGTCTGTCTGTTGAAACAATCATATCATACAGAAGGCAGAATAGAGGCCTACCAGGGAATTGAGAATAGCAGAAAGAGGTCTACAAAGCAAATATAAAGAGTGACTTTGGGGTTCAATAAATGTGATTGTTTGGAATCAGATAAGAATCTGCAAGAATCTGCAGGATCACAAAATAGGAAGAATGATATGACTGCTATGTTCTTGTCATTTCTCTTTCCTCTGTTACTGGAAACACTCTGAACAACAAAGCAAGATTCAAATCAAGTTAACTGATCAGAGTTACAGTGTTGTGTATACTGGTGACCAATGGGCAGATGATGTTTACAAGATACGGTACATCCCTTATAATATGAAGTCACTACAGGTAAACTCCTTCGAGATGTGCTGTCATTGCAGATAGCTGTGTAATAGCCGCACTGTAACTGGTTCTGAATAATACCTGAAGCCTTGGTGACTGAAAGCGCACAATAATCACATAATGCTGACATAAGAATATGTAATTGTTTCATTCATGTTGAAGTCTTTCTCTAGATATCCACATCCATGACATCCTCTTGCAAAATTTACAAGCTTTATTCATCTAAATGTTTCTGTGTTCCGTATGCATGAAAATAAAATTCCAAATTATTGAAAATATATGTATATAACTTTTGGGAAGTTACAGGCACTCTTTAAGGGAAAGAAAACAAACAAACAAAAGTAAAAAATAAATCCCCTTTCGGTCTTCTCTTCCATGTGTTGCCTAAGCTGATCTTGAGAAATCAGAAGCTTCCTTTCTGCTTGCCTGCAGAGAGGAAGGGAGGTCAAGCCTTTTAGTTTTCATTGTCACTAACCAACACAGTGTATCAGCACTGCTCTGAAAGTCTTTAAAAAAACTATTCCAATACTCAACTGTACATTGCTGATATCTTAGCAACAATTAAAAAGACACTGAAAACTTTGTTTCCTGTCTCTTTTGCTGGCAAGCAGAAAGTAAGCTCTCAGTTTCTCAAGATTGTTAAGTGGATTCAAGAAACGATAGCCAGGCACTTCATTTCAATCTCAGCAATCGCACACATCGCAACCAAACCAGAACAAAGCAATCCTATTGAGGCAGACTGGTTCATGATGGCACATACATCCTGTGATCAGGGTAGATAAAAAGCAATGATTTTTTAACAAAACAAAAACATCTATTTAAATCACTACTTAAATTGTGATTTAAATTTAAAAAATGATGTTTTAATTTAAATTGTAAAATATGAATTTTAAAAAATTTAAATCACGACTTAAATTGATTTAAATCAAATCCACCTTGCATGTGGTTGCTGGGGAAAGGAGAACATCAGCCCATCTCCAGCCCAGCCCAAATCATGGGATAAATGCCTGTCTGATCCCATCAGTTTTGTTAGAAGCAAGTCTGAGAGAGACTGGAAGTAGCGGCAGGGAGCAGGACTTGATAAGTAATTAAGAGCAGTGTTTGATGAAGTGTCTGCTTTTTGTGAAGAAGCTGTGGTAACAGTGGGGTTTTTTTTCATGGTGCTTGTGCAAAAGCAAGCACTCATTTATGTATCTAAATATAAAGAATTGTGTTTAAACTTAGGGAAAGAGAAAAGTAACGCAAAAGAGATATCAGCTGTATGATGACGAGTTAACAGCTTGCAATACTGAACCTTTTTATTCTCTTTTTAAAATAAAAGCAATTGGGCTTACAAATCCTGTTTCTAATTTTTAAAAATTGAAGTCATAGGGTATAATGTTGACCAACACTGGGACACATGGCCAAAGTTGTGTCACCAAAAAAAGGCTGTGTGGGTTTTCTCCCCAAAAAAGTATTCTCTTTTAAAAAGGGAAGTGCAAATGCAGTCCTTAGCTGTAGTGATGTGTAAGCAGCAGCAGAAAGGGAACACTAGCTGTTTCCTTGCTTTTGATAAAAGAGATTTTCTCAAAGAAGAAGAGCCTCTTACAAGTTAAGTGGCAACTGCAAACTTAGTGAGAGTGTCTGAGGGTGGCTTTCATCTGGTGGCGGCACACACTGGGTGGAGGAAGGTGGGCTGAGCATCACAGAGAGAATTGGGTGGTTTTTGAGGATTTGTCCTATGGTGATATGACAAAATACACTCAAGTGAAAATCAATTGTGGAGAGGAACAATTCAGTGACACGTCCCTGCCGACTTGTTTAAATAAATGGAAAAAATAGCAAGTTCATAAATTAACCAAAAAACAAAAACTCTTGTTCTATGGGTCAGCTATAACATGTTCAGATCCTAATTTATACCGAACAGCCTGCGAACAAAATTAAGTATTGAATCCTCAGTGTGTTGGAATCAATCCTCCATGCTCTCACAAGACTTAATGTTTATGTGCTATTAAGTTTTTCTGACTTCTAGTGACTCTAGAAGGGCATCCAAAAATCCTATCATTACCATAACTGCTCAGGTTTTACAAACTAAAGGCCCTGGTCTCCTTGTTTAGAATACCAAAACATACGATTTTCTACCAAGAGCATTTCTGCCAATTCTTTGTTGTTATGCCTCCATTAGTCCCTCTTTCAACCAAATGTTTGCCCTGCAAGGGTGGTAAAACGGATAATTTATACAGAAGTGGTGAGGGAGAAAATCATGAAGCCATTCAAAGAAAAGAGGGGGTTTAAGAGTAATTTGCCAGAATATCAACACTATGTTTATATTCATAGTGTTGATATGATATACATAGTAGAAGACTATGTTTTTTGTAATACTTTTCTAGTGAAATGTAATTATATCAATGGTTTTCCTTGATGATATTTTAATATTTTAGAGTATGTTTTTATCAATTTAAAAAATCTCCAACGAAAAATAAATCTCCAACCAGACCACCTATCCTTCTAAAGAAGTCATGCTTATTCATGAAGTTCCCCTGTATCATATAATTCCGTATTCCTGCCCACTTCAAAGAAAGCCCAGGCAGGCAAAGCCGGAAGAAATTCACAGACTCCGTCCCATATTATCTCACTAGGTCTTGGCTGCCAACATGCTCAACAGGACAAGCAGAAGTTTGACGTCTGAGATGCACGCTGCAATATCTTGGACTACCAAGATTTATTTCCACAAGATGATATATGTGTATATACAAGCAGTTTAAAAAATCTGTCTTCTAACGCTACAGATGTATGTATGCTATAGTACAGACTTGAGTAGGTGCAGTTTATAGTACCTCAAATCAGGCAATAACTCATGATATAGAACATTTATTCCATATTGAACTATAGAAAGAGAGACCACATTTGATTATGAATTCCTCTTAAGAAAGTGTAGGCTGTTTCTGTTGGACACACGAAAGACAAGAATGCATCTAATTGGTTTTTGACAATGACATCATCTGGGTGCAATTTGTGTGGCAAGTAGTGTGCCAGTGACATCTCCCAAGCATCCACAAAGTGTACCCCAATACCTGAGAACATTTTTCTCATGACTGTGTCAAGCTGAAAGGAATACCAGTCACTGTTGAAAAGGCTAACCTCTGGCCCAAGCTCCTGCACATTGGCAGTCCTGATAACTATCTGAGTTTTAGGGCTCCGATCCAACAGCCGAATGACTGACCTGCGAATGTTTCTCAGTCTCCTGATATACACTTCTACAGGGAAAGTGCTGAAGTGAGACCAGATAGTTATGGCTATTACAGTGTTCCTCCCGCCTACGATGCGGTTCAGTTCATTGGCAATATAGTGCAGCTCACTACTAAAAACCGTGAAAAAGCGAATGGGGGGTCCGTGACAGCGGAATTTTAGTAGGATATTGTGCTTTGGGTCCACAGCCATGAGAGGACCAACCTTTTTGGGACTGCCAAGATTTAATTCCACAAGATCTGAAAAACAGGAAAAAAGAGACTTCTTCAGTTATCTATCACCAGCCATAACTGTTAGAGATAAATAAGTTTCAGCATTAAATTCTCTGAGAAATAGAAGACAATGAAAATAAAAACATATACTCCCTGTGCTTCAACCTTAATTATTCAAAAAATGAACAAAATAATGTAAGAAGAGCCCTGCTGGATCAGGCCAAGCGCCCTTCTAGTCCAGCTTCCTGTATCTCACGGTGGCCCCACCAGATGCCTCTGGGAACACACGAGACAACCAGATACCTGTCTCTTGATACTCCTCCCCTGCATCTGGCATTTTGAGGTACATTCCTCAAAATGCCAGAAACATCAACCTAAATTCAACTGCTATTCCTACCTATAGTAGATCGATTGAATCAAAGGGATTTATGCAACTGTTCACTTGTCATTCAGTAACTGATTCAATGGGTCTACTGTAGTTGAGACTAAGAAACTGGATTTAAGCCACTATCACAAAATAGTGTTTGAGATATGAGCCAATTTTTCATATATATATAAAAGATCAAATCTTTTGTTTTAAGTTAACCAAATAGGTCATTTCTCACTAAACCCCAATTTGGTAGAGCAGGTATTCAAACTATGTTGTACTGCTCCCTATTCTGTGCTTCTCATACCTTAATTTGTCATCAAATTATGTCATCTTCTTAATATACAGTCTTGTAAAAAGCTACCCCTTGCTCTCTGTTTGGCTATAATTATGGCTACTATAGTGATATCATAGTCTTTTTCACCTGTCTTTCCCTGCCATAAGAAAGTCCTCTTAACTCTATCCAGAACCCTGAAGCTAAGGCAATTAATGTATCTAGTTGCTCAAAGCATCCAGCTCTAATTCCTTTCCTCAAATGTTAACATAAGCCTGTCATGCCTTACTACGTAATTCAGTAAATTGTTTGTTCTTAACATTAAGGTTGTCCTTAGTTTTGTAACCCCCATACTTTCTTCTCCCTTGCTATCTAGGGTTGAATTAAGACATACCGAGGTCCTATGGTACACAACTAGAGATGGGGGTATTTGTATATGAATATCCCTGCACAGGTGGCATTAACGAGAATCCAGCCCATGGCGCTGGACGGTCCACTCACCGATCCACTGTGGACAGCGTGATTCTACGAATGGTTCTGCAGCGTGTGATCCGCTCGCTACTCCTGGCAGGAGACGGGAGGACAAGCCTCGCTGCAAGGTTGAGGAGTGGCAAATGCGACACCATTCTTAGAATTGTGCCGTCCGCATTGGATCGGTGAGTGGACCATCCGGCCCCATGAGGCTGGACCTCATTAATGCCACCTGTGCAGGGATATTCACATTCGAATATGAATACCCCCATCTCTATACACAATCTTTAAAAAGCCCAGGACTACTATTTCAATAGACTGCCAGGAAAGGAATTGATTAATGGTTCGCTTTTTAATCTGAGGCCCTAAACTGAAATTAAAACCTATCTGAATTAGCTTGTTCTAATGCTGCTACTTACCTCTTTATCACTATGTTTACATTGTATTATATCAGGTGGAGCTAGGAGAGTTTTAGCTTCCAAATTCTCTCTTAGCAACCACCTGCTGCTATCGGTCCTAGGATATTTGGCCCAGTTGTGTAGAAAAGGATAGGTTTCAGGTGTGGAGGTGAAGTAACTTTGAATATTGCTAGTGATAGAGATACCACATGATTTATTAAAATTACACTTGCCTTCTATTATCATCCTTCCTTTTATTTTTTAAAAACTGTACATCACCCATATAAAATATTTGTGTTTTTTGGAATTTTCAAGTACAAGTAGAATGTCAGTCACTGTGAGGAAATGGCTTATGCAAGACATGCTCGTGAGCTTCATGGTTCACTTTGAGAAGTGGTGAGCATTCCAACATAGGAAGCATTCAAAAGAAATTCTTATAGCCATCTGTCAGATTTGCTTAACTTGGATTCCTGCATTGAGCAGGTGGTTAGACTTCATGGCCTTAAAAGCCCATTCCGACCCCATCAGTCTATTAATTCTATAATTCTAATGAAAGGATGAATGAAACATGTGAATGAATCCACAATAGGATTTTTGGCAAGCAGTGACAATAAACCAACCAACCAACCAACCTGGAACAAATGCTGTCAGATATTCAAACCACTGCCTGATTGTAGAGTCTCCAAACAAATGGATAAACTTCCCCTGTAAACATTCTGTAATATCTGATGATTTGTTAAAACGCCGAATCCATTGTGCTCTTGGTTGCCATTCATCTTGATAATAATAACCAGAAGGAAACACATCAGGGCTTTGAGATCTTTCCAGATTGTCCTCTTCTAGAAGAATCAATTTTACATTGTCAGGAATGAAATGCAATGTGTTACAACTTTAGCACCTAAATAAATAAACACATACACTGTAGCATCAATCCTTTTAACATAGATTTGCTATATTAACTCTGGAAAGACTTAGATTTCATTCGCTTCCATATGAAGAAAATTCTGTATTTGCAGGAGAAATTTTGAAATGAATTCTGAGAAAATATACCCTTTGTCCAGACAATCTTCTGTGTGTGAGGGAGAGAAATATGCTACAGTGGTGCCTTGCTTAGCGATTGCCTCATTTAACGATGTATTCGCTTAGCGATGAGGTTTCTGGAGCGATTTTGCACTCCGTTTAACGATGTTCCCCATGGGGAAAATTCGCATAGCGATGTTTGGGACCTTGCCTTGCTTAACGATGACAGTTTTAGGTCCCCTGTTTCGCTTAGCAATGTTCCGTTTTTGCAATTTTAAGTGTGTCTTAAAAGATTCAAAAATGGTTTTAAATGCTTGGAATCGTTAGTGCACCTTCTAAAATGTGTGCAAACTTAATTTGGCTTTGTTCTGACTCTTCGTTAATTTTTGGTGAATTTTTTCCCCCATTGAAATGCATTGAACCCGATTTTTGACAGCTGTCAAAATCGGGTTCAATGCTTCAATGCATTCCAATGGAGGATACATTGTTTCGCTTAGTGATGTTTCCAATGGAGATTTTCGCTTAAGGACAGGATAGCTGTCAAAATCGGGTTCAATGCTTCAATGCATTCCAATGGAGGATACATTGTTTCACTTAGCGATGTTTCCTATGGGGATTTTCACTTAAGGACGACAATCCGTTCCCATTGGAACGGATTAACCAGTTTTCAATGCATTCCTATGGGAAATGGTGTTTCGCTTAGCGATGTTTTCCCATAGC